AGTTAGTAGAAAACAAGCAATTATTTATAACATAAAGGTAGATTCATAATATAAATGTATGAAAAAACACACACAATAACAAATGCAAATCATAATACTGATTATGCTATTATACCTCAAATTCAAAACATAAATCAAATATCTTTGAAATTCATGATTAGCAGGTGACAATCTGCAGGTCGACATTTCTTTGTGAGTTATAATATTTTGGACCACTTTCGTTTATGAAGAATATCAAAGAAATTTCCAAGCTAAAGTATGCCATTTTGGTCCTAGTTGGTATGATAAACTAGCACCTTGACAATGTGAAACCTAGTGATTTGTTTTCCACTGATAAATTTCATAACAGTGTGCATATATGATTTGGCAAGGTTGCTCGTGTCATATGAAATTAGTCCATCTGATTTTCATACAAGCATGTCTACAGCAGTCATAATTCTTGTGAGAAGGGAACAAGGCATTGTTAGGATTTTGTTGTTGTTGCTGACTAATGAACAAAAGTAAGGCCTGTATTTTTTGTGGCTTTCAAAAACATGATATGAACCATTCTTTAGATCATTTATGATATTTTTTACACAACTGGAATTTTTACTGATGTATCAAATTGTGCCTCTTGCTCTTTTTTTGAGGCAAATTACACTTCACTTTGATAGATGTGTTTCATTTTCAGTGTTTTCGCTAGCAATGTTGTGCAATACCTTAGTTTAGTTTCTGACCATGTGGTTAGCGCATTCAACTTTCTTGACTGATCGGCCATAAGGTACTCTTTCCAAAACTCGGTTATAAACATTTGAATCTCCATCACCAATTAGTACCTTATACCTTACTCCATGCATGGATTCACTCTTACAGAAACCTTCTACAAGAATATTAGGCTCCATAGTGGGAGATGAATCATTTCAGTTTTGGGAACATTTATGCTCAGTTGCCATTCCCCTTTTCTCATCTGTGGCACATATGCGACAATAGTTGTTCCATATGTCAAAAAAATATCTTTTTCGTGCAATGACCAATTATGACTGTGACACCAGTATTAGAAGTGTTATGATGACCACAGCTTCTTGTTCATAGCATGAATTCACTCTTACAGAAACCTTCTACAATAATATCATGTTCCATAGCAGGAGATGAATCATTCTAGTTTCAGTAACATTTGTGCTCAGATGCTGTTCCCCCTTTTCTCATCTGTGGCACATATGCAACAATATTTGTTTCAAATGCCAAAAAAGTAACTTTCTTGCACAATAACCACTTATGACTGCAACAGTATGCAACACTTAGAAGTTGGTATGTTAGAAGTATAATGATGACCATAGCTTCTTGTTCCCCCAGCCAGCATCATTAATAACTTTTATCCATGGAACTCCATCTATATCTACATTCCATGCCTCTTCTTTTCCAGCATCTTCCATATGTGTCTGCATACATTCTTCCCATTTCTCAAAAAATCAATTTCAAAGTTGGAATAAGATTTCAGCAAATATAGATATATAGTTATCTGACAGTTTATGTTCATTGTTTACAGACATTTTCTGTATTTCTTTTTCATTTTTACTCTTATTTCATAATCGTTTTATTGAAAATAGAAAAAAACATATAATAGGGAAATTTATTGTTTCTTATAAACAAAATAATGGGCCATGAGCTGGTTATCTTATAATTCTTTCTTGCTTAGCCCATTATTGCTGGACCCCACTTTATTCTTAGTGGCCATTTGCAACAAATTAGTTGTTTGTTTTGTTATTAATAATAATAACGCAATTCAAGCTTATTGTAATATTTGCATTACATAATTATGAAGTAAATTTAGTAGGTTGAGTAAATACTTATGCTTCTTGTAAGTCATGTTGTAAGACTGATATCTCAAGTAATTGATATTTTTATTCTAGGGAATGGATAATTTCTCCATCAAAGACTTTGAACCTTGTCTTTATGAAGTGTAATGAACCTTTGTGTTCCCTTAAGAGTAATAAGGAATTAATTAGTACAAGAGCCATTTTCTGCCCACTCTCTGAACAGGTTTAGTATACATGTATAGTATGATACATAGCAGTAAAAGAATTTTATAAAAAAAAACAAACCACAATATATATATACATATATGCACACACACACATATCATAAATCTGTGTCTGTCAGTTTGTTTGTCTGTTATCTAACTACTCCTAGGTTGCTGGGATGATAGTTTGGAACAAGGGGCATGTTAATAAGGGTTCACAACCCCCTCCACTTTCATTATTGCTGTTATTGAGCATATATATATTATATTCGATGTAAGTTAACGTTAACTACAATCATAGATGGCGCCACCTCATTATACCAAAAAATATTAAATTTTCTATAACACAACCTCTGCACAGTGTGGGAGGAGGGCACAGAAAGGTCTTATATATCTCGGAGAGTACACTAATACTCTCTATGGAGGAATGCAAAGAAAAAAAGTGGCCACCACTATTGCAATAATACATAAACTCAGCTGATGTTTCTAGTCCAACAGCCACCATAATATGAAGAGCTGTTTCTTGAGTTATACCAACTTTGACCCATTACCTTTCAACTTTGGCCTGTAAGACACTTCTGTACTCACTAATCTTCAGTTATGTAACACTATGGAGGGACATTAAGAGGTGGGTGTTGAAAGTGGGTAAAACAAAGTGCCCTTATTGCCACTACTTTGGTGGCTACTTCTTCCTACAAACTCACCCTGACCATTGCACAGTGTATACCATGTTTTAAGTTTGTACATATTGAGTTATTAAAGCTTATAGAAAACTTTTGGTGAAGTACTAATGAATACTGTAATAATAATATATTATGTTTTAAATAAATTGTGTGAAAGTTAGGATTTTTGTATTATTGATCATAGCATTCACCTACATTTTTTAAGTTCATAACTCGGACAAAGGACGGGTATCTCAGCTTGTAATAAATAAGACTATCTGATAGGGACTCTCATTGAATGACATAGGGAAGTCTGATCGGGGCGTTTTTAAGACTTCAAAGTACTTGGTACAATTTTTGTAAGGGGGCCCATTAGTATTGATCAGCTATAAAATTTCGAATTTATTTTCATATTAAAATACAATAAATAACGAGTTTTCCTATATACAATATATATGTAAACATAAATATATAAAATGTTTTTTTTTAGGAAACACCTTAGAGTCTGTTATTTATAATAACAATAAGATGTTAAAAATGACCCTAATGTCGGATCCGAATGAATACGTACTAGGGTACTTGCCTAAGAGAGTGTGTCAGGGTTGTGCAATTAGTTTAGTGGTTTGTTAGTTATGAGCAGACCCAATTCAGGGGAAAGACATTACATGCCCTCAAGGGGTGACATAGGGGGATCAGATAAAAACACTAAACCCCCTGTGTTACTAGTTGGAGAGAGGTCATAATGGTCCATGTCAGGTTTGGTGACAGTTACTCCAATGGTTTGCCAGTTATAAGTGAACACAATAGATTTGCAAATTATGGTTTAGAGTTTTACAATCGTTATCTTTCCCCAATGAGATCCCCGGATTTTTATCATTATTTGTAAACAAATTTTTTAAATCTAAATAAACCAAAGTGAATATCCTTGGAAGCTATCACATCCAACTTGAGTGGTTTTTTAGACTCATTTCCTGTTTCTAGCTATACCACTGTGAAAAATAACTTCCTACAATACCTATACCATTTGTGTATTCAGCTGTGCATCATAAAAAATTTCATTGTGCAAGGATTGTGATTGAATCTGTATGTAACATACCATACCCATATATGCTTAAGTGTGCAAACCATTGGTTCCTAAAAATTTGCATTTACTGTTTGTTTCAAGGAAGATTCCTGTACTTGTGTATCATATTTTGTTCTGTTTTAAGAACAGAATATGTTTGATAAGCAAGTATATCTATTTTCAAAAAAGTAAAAATATGAGTTAACAAAATATTTTTGAGTGATGACTCATAAAGTATTACTCTGAATTTCTTTGGAATTCTTATAACTGTAAATAACTACAGTGTATCCATTGTAGTTTGTTCTGCTTCAAAGAATATTTGGATCTTTATTTGACATATTTGCTATCTCATTTCTTAGTTGTCATTCTTGAAATGTACATATTAGCAATAAAGGTATATATGATCGTACTGTTGTATATGATACATTGAAAACAACTTACTAATGTAGGTTTTTAACATGGCTTAAGAACTAACATTTTTGGCCATGTTAGCAATAAAAAAAAAACTAAACAATTCATGAGTGGCATGCCCTTTGTGGTTATAAATATTCAGCTGATTTAAATTTTCAGGAAGTATCATATTTTTGATTTCATATTTTTTTTAATCCAATATCAAATTTTATAGGTATTTTGTAATAATTATATTTCATGATATCAATGAAAAAATGTTTATTGCTTGATTATCATCATATTTGGTTTTCACATAAATGTTGTGTTTGCAGACAACTTTATAATTTGAAAATTATATGTAACTGGTCTGAATAATCATACCTGGATTAACAACTGGAAAAAATATTCCAGTGCCTTGATGGTCACTTGATAAACTCTAGAATCCATTGCATTTTTGCCAGCTAGCTACAATTAATTGTAATCCCTGTGTATGGATGATATTTTTCTTGTTTACACTATATCCTACATACATCCAAGTTCACAAGATTTGAATATTTTGAATGTGTTTATAGTGCAAAAACCATGAAACACTTTGCCTCAACTATAATTATACTTGCATGCTTAGATTTTACTGTGTACGCAAGGTCAATCACTTTTCCTTCTTAGTAACTTCTGATCAGAGCAAGCTACCTACATATATCAGAACTAAAACTTAACCAACAGATATAGATGTGATGCAACATATTTAACTTCTAGTTTTGAACCAAATTCCTAAACTTTTTAAACTTGATGTTTTATGTTCTTAACTTTCATTAATTGACTCAGTAATTTCTACATAAAAACTCAAATTTAAAGAAGTTAATTGTGAATTTCTTGTAATTTACAGTGATCTGGAAAGGATACGAGAAGGGATAGGTGACAAGTTCAGCATGTTTATTCAGTATGCAGCCACGTTTCTTTCTGGATTTATTGTTGGTTTTTTTGTGGGTTGGGAGTTGACCCTTGTGATCATGTCACTAACTCCTTTGTTGGCCTTATCTTCTGCCTTTATGGGAAAGGTAAAAATGTTGTGGTATTTCTATCTGTCACGTGATCTGTATCCTTTGCTAGCTGACCTGATATTTGACCTTTGATGGAAATTTAGATTACTTGTTTGTCATTGAAAACAAAGGCAATATTGGAAGAGAAAGACATTAGTTGTATATGTTATGTTTCTAGGAAAATTAATGTTAATGTATGTTTTATTGAACTCTGGCAAACTTGTAGTAGACTGTATAATAACAATACCAATCAGATTATTTAAAGTTTGAGATTTTGCTGTATGATGTGTATAAATTTCTAAAAGCGTTTTATAGAATTATGTTCATCAATTTCAAGTCAATAATTTTTAGACTTACAATAACAAATTCAAACTATCAAAATGCATTTAAAATGAAATATTTTAAAGCTAAACTGAAACTTTTTTTTTATATTTTCTAGAAAAAAATATATGAAGAATTAAATGAAATGAGAGCATGGTTTCTACATTGTAAAATAAATTTTATATTGCATAAATTTATTACAAAACTTCATTAAATTCATAAGAAGGTTAAATGTACATAGCCCTTAGATTTACATAACCACCAAAATGTTAGTGTGAAAAAAATCCAGATGTTCTCTTGTAATACACTTAAAAGAGTTTAGAAGAAGTTCAGAAATATATGGGTTTTGAACTCCTTAAAAAAAGAAACTAAAGTAGCAATTTGCTGCCTCTACATAGATGATTGCTTCTTCATCGGCTAGAGAGCAGGAGAAGTATGCACAAGCTGGCAGTGTGGCTGAAGAAGTTCTAGGAAATATCAGGACAGTAGCTGTATTCAGAGGAGAAAAGAGAGAAGTTACTAGGTGTCTCTTTTAATAGTGATTATAATTACATCTAGAACTGTAACTATATTAGTTATATTTTTGTTACATTTTGTTTTAAAATTGTACAGGACATAAATTGGTCCTAAAGAAGCCTAAATAACAAAACATTGAACAAAAATGAAGTTGAACATTTTATGAACATAAATTGCTATTTATTAAGAATAATATTTATTATTAGCTAGGTAAAATTTTTACATATTTACTATAAACAATATGGTACCTCTGGGACTTAGAAACAAATACAGTTATGTAAAATATTTACAGTGAATAATCAATAAGTTTTAAAGTTTTGAATCTGAAACTAACTAAGAATTAATTGTAATTAAAAAAACAACAACATTATTTTCAGCTAAAAATAAGAGAACATTTACAAAATGGAAATAATCCTTATCTAAATATCTTCTTTTTTGGTAATATTTTTCATGTAGATTTCCACATTGGATTAAAAACAAGAATTCTGTAATCATCTGAATGTTTTATTGTTACTTGTGGTAATTTAATTAATAACTGGTGAAGATGTATGTTATTCAGCAAGTTAGGTGGATATTTTGAAATGATTCATAATGGTTCTTGAAATGAATGGGATCACAACAATCAAAACTTTAGTCAGATGTCTAGCAGTGTTAAAGAGCCATTTGTTATGTAAAGTTTCTGTACCTGTACCTCTTAATTTTTTTTGTTTTTAAGCATATAAAATGTTTATTTTAATTCTTTAGGTATGTTAACCCTTTTGAGACAGGTCACGGGTGATAAGCCATGTCATCTCGTTTGTTGACTCGTATTCAAAATTTATTGAACTATTATTTTATGAATTTATGTCATTAAGTTTGGTATCAAACTGTAGATCATTATTCAAATTGGAGTGCTATACATTACACAATTTCTTAATTTAAAAGTAAACATTAAAAACACAGATAAACATTGATTTTTGTGTGTCATGGGGTGTGTTGAATGCAGCACTGGTTCAAATTAGATGTTTCATATTTTTTTGGACTAAAATACATCTTAGTTACTAAGCTTGATAAATCATAGTGGAATTCTATGGTATTGATGTAGTAATTACTGATTTTTTTAGTTTTTTAAATGTATATATAAAACTGAAAAAACATTATCTTGTTTCATATCCTCTATGTGCAAATTTTTAAAGGTTTGACAACCTACATCAAGCAGCAACAGAGTACAAAGGTCGTAACTAGAATATATAATTGCTTGCTTTACTTCTTTAGTTACTGTTTTATGTTTTAAGAAAAATTAATATAAGAACTTATTTCAAAATAGCAATAATCTATATGCATATGTAATATATAGTAATTGAAATGTGACTGTATTTTACAAAATTCTAGTCTACTAAAACACAGCCAAGACAGGTCATTTGTAAAGACTAAAAGTCAGTTTTATGTTATTGGATGCGGTAACATGAGTGCACATGTGCCGCGTCATTATAACTTCTGTATTGTTAACCAGGCACGACTGAAAGGTCAATATATTAAAATTAATATATATATATATATATATATATATATATAAATGTATAATGTTGTGAGATTTAAGCTATTTAATCTAAACATTTATGTTTTTGTGTTCGTTCTAGAATGAAAGAGGCATAATTTATATTTATTTCCAAATTTTTTATGGAATTTATAAGATCGGTTAAATCTTCTGAACCCTTACAGAAATTCATTAGTGAATATAACAGATAACATATGAAGTTTTTTCTTAAGAAACGTTTGATAACTATCTGGACATTATAAATATTTCACATGTAAAATTTGAATGTTTTCTGATGCATAAAACTATATTTAATCTTAAAATGAAAAATTACTTTGCATATTAGATAGGAAATGTGCAAAAAGAAAAAAGCATCAGAAAAACATTGCTTAGCAAACCTTAAGACTTATTTTTAAAAAAATTATATTTTGCATATGAAAGCTTTGTAATGTTTACTGATAATTGGCAAATTTCGTTAACATATGCATACTGATTTAAAAGTTATAGCATGAAAGCTATAACAAGCACAAAATGGTGAAAGAGTAAAAGTAACTTTTATTTAACCTTTGAAATTACTAATTAGTGTACTTATAAATAGAGAGAGTGACTATTTTTTACAACATATTAATCAGTACAATAAAAGTTATGAAGGTGGATTGCAATTTATAAGAATAATTTGCATATGCTGATGCAGTGGTAGATCATTGTATAAACAAGTTGTGGTGCCACATATATATTTAGTCCACTGCAAATTCCTGACCATTTAACAGTGCAATGCTACCAGGGTTCAACTTACGGTTGTATAGATCTCTCACAGCCATTTCTGACGAAGGATATTCTTGTAGGGAAATAGTAAAGGTCAGAGTATATCAATTACAAAGAGTAATGAATGACATTGACAAGAGAAGATCAGCACATTAATATTTTATAGGAAGGTGTAAAAGTGCCTAAACAGCATAACTACCACTTCCACAACAACTACAAAAAGAAATGGGTGACATCTACTGACCATGTAATGAGTAGAATATATCAAACTTGGCAGGGACTGATATGCACCTCTAAACTTTGCTGTACTTAACTCTAGACCTTAAACACTGATCACAGAGTCTTTTTTGTGTTTGTGTGTGCATATCCTCACTTATTTGTTTTTTTTAAGCTGAGAAACTAGAACTTTAACTTGTCAGCCTGCAACATTAGGTCCCATTATTCGTCAGTCCAACAGTTATACCTTTTTATGAGGTCTCAGAAGTGGTTTTCTCACTACAACACATCCATGAAGACCAGATTTTATCAGTCTGTGATGAACAAAAGAGTAGCTAACCATGGTATCAGTAGTTTCTCTAGGTTATGAGCCATTTGGCAACTTGACGTGGATTTTGTTCTTTGCTGAGCTTGTTGCACTATTATTCCAACCCCATATTTGAAAAAGATCTGAGTGGTGTTAATACAAGAGATGGATATGGTATCACACAAGTGATTTAACAGGCGCATATAATTTGCTTTTGTATTGTTTATAGTTAAATTTTATGAAATTGTAAATGATTTCTACTCAGATTGACTAGGCAATTTATAGATTTGTAAACATGCAACGTCTTCAGACATTTAGTTTATGAGTCGTTACATTACCATGTAACTGCAACTCATTTAAAACTAATGATGTGTCTTTGAGTTTAAAAACTAGTTCACAACCACATTTAGTCACAGATTAGCATGTATTTAAAATAGTAGGATAGTCTCTTACTTTTTCACACCACTGTTTGCATGTATATATAGGAGACTAAATAAATTAAACAATTTCATGGTTTAAAAATCTTTAATATAGCAACTGTGCTCTTTACCTTGAACACTATATGTATATATAGATAAATGGAAAAACATTACCTAATTTGAAAACTTACTGAGAGTCAATGTTTTTCAAGCCTCTTCTGTTTTAATCACTTTCAGATTTATTTTATTGAAACTTGTGTATATACAACTTACTTAAATAGGCTATTAATGGAAAAATGACTGAGAAGCAATGTTTCAAACCTTTCCTTCTAGATTATTATTTGTTAACTTATGTACATATAACTTACTTACATGGGCTATTATATTATACTATAAAATAAGTACCTGTTTTTTATGATTCTTATTTTAATTGTATTCTAGGAGACTCATTATTTTGTAGTGTGTTTGAAATTTTCACCTTGATATTGTTATTGTGAGATTTCTTAACACTGAAAATCATTAATTTAACCTTGTTTTATATAATAGATGTTTACATTGTTTTAACAAAAATATTAAACTTGCTAGTCATTGTAAGACCAGTATCTTTTGTAAACTGGTTTATCTTTGTTTTTGTAGTAAATGCTGTTCTAAACATCAACAAAAATGTAAATCTTGGGTCACTACAAGTAACAACGCAGCAGCAATCCATAAATATTTATAGCCCTCCAGTATTCTAAATTAAAGTTAAAATCACCATAGGAAAATCAAGCATTTAAAAATAGAAAAATGTGAATAAATTTAAACAACTCCTTGGTAATGACACTATATATGTTGTGATTAATTTATGTGTGTATGTATTTGCATATTTATTTATATACATGTATGTAATAACTTTCTTTAGATACACTGAAGCTTTATTAGCTGGAAAGAAAGTAGCAATGCGAAAATACATTTTCATTTCCATTGGTTTAGGCTTCACTTTTCTTGTGCTATATGGTTCATATGCTTTGGCTTTCTGGTGAGTAGGACATAATTTTTTTTTAACTAATAGTAAAAGATGTGTGAGTTGTACAGAATAAGGACTGGATTAAGTTATTATGTGAACCTGTAATAGCCTGTTAATTTTGTTCCATTGTTTTTCTTTACTTGCCTACATACATAGCTAATTTAAAATATATTTATTGGTATCATTCCTGTTTTGTGTATATCTGTTCATTAGGGTACTTTTTAATTAAAGATCATTTTATCTATTAAAGACAGAGCATTCAATACTAATATATATATATATATATATAAACTTTAGTATGTTAATACATTTTATACATATATCAGATCATTAAATATATTATCAATAGATTTGTAACATATGTTATCAGTCTTTGGCTTATGAATATACTTTGGAAAATAGTTAATTAGAAGTTAAGACCAATGAATCTTTAGAATGTTCTTTAAGCATATTTACAAGAGTAAATGATAATTCAAGTGTATGCTGTCATTGTAGGTAATTGTTTGTCACTATTCATAGTTAAGTAACTGAATAATTCAGAATACAATATCTTTGGAAGTAAATGAAGCTTGGAAGTAACTATCAGAATATGAGAGTGAAGTGTTACTTTGATGCAAGAAACAATGCAAATGTGAGTTGCTTTAACATGTATTTCCACTTGCACAAGCATTTGAAACTAAGTACACTTAACAGGAAAGATCATGTGCTATGTTTAATGTGACACAAGTAAGCTGTCATGATGTAACACAGAACTTTACATGTATTGATATCATTATGTCTTTGGCTGTTTTCTTATTAAAAATATGCGTGTGAATGTTTCAGCTTAGGTGATTAATAAAGTGTTTGATTTCAATTTATATGAGGCATTATAGCCATTTCATGAAGACTTTGTTGCTGTTAATTTAATCTATATCATTCTGTATTTTTTAAATTTTATGATGAGTAACTGTATATATATATATATAAAGCACAAAAATCTGTGTCTGTTTGTTTGTTTGTCTGTCTGTCAATTATCTAACTACTCCTAGGTTGCTGGGCCAATCTCAACCAAACTTTGTATGATAATAGTTTGGAACAATAGACATTTTAATGGGGGATTCACAACCCCCTTTTTTGCTGTTATTTAACATTTCTTATTTTTGACACAAGTTAACATTAACTACATTCATAGATGGCACCATCTCCTTGTACCAAAAAAGAAAGTATTAAATTTTCTGTAACACAACATACACACAACGTTTAGGAGGGCACACAACTGTTTTACATATCGTGGAGAGTACACTAGCACTCTCTATAGAGGAATGCAATCAAAAAATGTTCACCACTATTGCAATAATACATAAACTCAGCTGAAGTTTTAACTCCAACAGCTACCATAAGGCTGATATGATAAACCATTTCTTGCATTATACCCACTTGGTACTTTGACCCGTGACCTTTCAACTTTGGCCCGTAAGACACTTCTGTGGCCAATGACTGTGAATTAATTAATCACGTGAAACAATGTGGAAGAACATTAAGGGCTGGGTGTTGAAAGCAGTTAAAAAAAAGCATCCCTACTGCCACTATCTCTTCCTACAAAGTCGCCCTGACCATTGCACAGTGTATACCATGTTTTAAGTATATACATATTGAGTTTTTAAAACTTGTATAAAACTTTTGGTGAGGCAATAATGAATACTGTAGTAATATGCTTTTTTATAAATAAATTGTATGAAAGTTAGGGTTTTTGTGTTATTTATCATACTTCTCCCCCTACATTATTTTAAGTTCATAGCTTAGATGAAGGATTGGTACCTCAGCTTGTATGTTAATAATTTTTATTTTTTTTTAATCTAACATCATGGTCTAACTTCAAAACATTATACTTTATTAATTATCACAATTTAACTTTCTCCAGTTTGTAATCATAATTATAATATTGAAAATAATATTTTACAGTGTGAACAATTAACTTTATCTCTGCTGTATTCTCAGAAAGTAAAAGTTAAGCCTTAACTCTGATCATTCAAATGTTTTTTTACATATTAAATGCTACCAAAATATTGTAGATTTCTAAGATATATTTTGTTGACAAAATCATACAAAATATTTCAAAGTGGACTTTGACTGGGATTTTTATAAAATTATGTAGCAGTAATAAAATCAAATCAAAATGCTAATTATCAAATAATGTGCACTTTCATTTGAGGTAATTTTACTGGTCAGAAGGAACATGTCATTGAGCAGTTTAATTTAAAAAATATGTTTTTGGTATAGGAGAAGTATAGTCAACTTTTGGAAAATGCTGAAGTTTTGGGTCTATTTTTGAAATTCATTGTACCTTTTGTGTGTGTGATTGTGTATGCCAACTTTTTATCAGAATTATTTTTGGTATATTTATAGAAATGTTAGATTTTAGATGTATATTATTATTTTTATATTTTTTTTCAATGTAAAACTATTCATGATTATATTTTGTTGTATTTTTTCTACTTTCTGAACTAGTGACAACATTAGACTTACAATCGGCTAAGGAAATGCTGCAATCATCAGTACTGATGCTTTCTAATGATTATTGCATTACATACACTGTTCAACATAAAGTGAAAAGGCCATATTTTTAAACTTACAGCATAGTTTATTTTTATCTTAATTTTTTTTTGGCAGCCATATTTGAAGATCTTTTCTGAATGGGTGAAATACATATTTAGAGCAGAGTATGGAAGATATTTCAAGCTTTTATTTTTCTTAATCTGTCTTAAATTTGTCACAACAAACAGTACATTTGTGTATTTTTACCTTAATACTTGAATGTTCTTTTCTTAATAAGTCAGGTTCCATGGTTTTAATAAGGATTATTTGACCACCTCAGCACTCTGTTTCAAAGTGGGATTGCCGTGATAGCTTCCTCTTCAATTAGTAGCCTTTTATGCTATTATTTGTTTATTATATTAAATTAAAAAACCTTTGCTCATAATATGAATTGAATGCTGTGTTGACATGCACATTCAGTTGAAAATACAGTTTAACTTATAAATGACAAACAAGCTGAATATACAATACAGACAACAGAACTGAGCAATAGTCAGCATACATGAAAGATTGATATCATGCTTGTGTTCTACAAATATAGTTTCTATGTGCTTGTGATTGATAACGTTTCATTATAGTTATTGGGAGTTCATGTATGAGTTATTTTCATGAGTACTGTTAAGATTCATTTGGTCTAACAAACTGTTTTATAAAGGGGAATAGTGGGTGGAATAAGTAAAATTTTATGGCATGCTTTTAAAAATGTGGTATTATTATGTAGACAGTTTTAGGTAGTCATAATGATGGTTTAAAATTTGAGCTTCACATTTTGTTTGTAGGGAGGGTATGATTTGTAACGTGTCCATTGTCTTGATAATTATAGCCACATGATATGTAGAATTGTAAGCATCTGTTTAACAAATTGCGGAAACATTACATTTCATGTGAACAAAGAAAAATGCCTTGAGGCTCATTGGCTAGATTATCATTCTTGAGATAAGTGGTTGATATTTTAGTGTTTCTGTAATAAAACCTCAAAAACGTTTGACTACAGCAATTTTAGAATGTTTATAAAAATATTAAAATGATTAAACATTATTTTTATTATTATTTGTGTTTTTCATCGCATTTAAAACATTTTACTGTACACTCAAAACTTACTGTAAAACGAATACAAGAGCAACAGTCTTGCTCGTCAGCAGGAAGTTACCACTCGTGAATAACATCATTTATATGTGCAAAGTGTTTCTCTGCTAGATGCATAAATTCAAGAAATTAGCAAATTTTCTTGGGAAAGAATCTAGATATCAGGGTTTACTTGCCACACACACACATTGGCAGGCCATAAAGGCAGTCCTACATCCAAGAAAACATTACTTTTACATGTATTTTATAGAACTACATTGTACTGGTGTATTTCCAGGTGTAATACATGTGTTAATTTTGAGATAATATTATTGCTCACTTCTAATGAACATTTTATATTTAATTACCAACTTCTTGTAACCAGTATGAGCTTGCAAATAACACTACCATATTTGAAGTTTGACATTAGGCCACATTAAATTCATATGAAGTTAGGTTCAGGATGTGAGTAAATAGAAAATGTTGCCAAAATATGACATCTGCTTCAGTTCACACAATTTGATTAGTGTCAAGAATGATTGATCTTGGAGCTTCCTTGATATGATTTTACTTTGTTTTCACAGTTGCAGGTAGTATTGTGAAAAATAAATTTTATATAGTGAACTCACTTTTATTTCAAATACTGATACTCAAGAAACAAATGATTTGAATATTGATTTCTTATTTTGTGCATATATTTCCCAATGTAATATAATTTGTGTTACTAAAGAAATATTGGGATGCAGGATGTGTTGCTAATAGGAGGGCAATTTTTTTGTATTTTTTATGATTGCACTTTATTAGTGATATTTTCCTTAGCAACATTTTTTGTTAAATTTTTTATGAGAATAAAATATATTTCATTCTTACTCTCTCTCTTTCTGTTTCTCACACACAGACAAACAGATGCCTTTTTGATTAATTAAGGATAAATGAATAAATACCAATATATAAACTAAAAATAATATTAATTTTAAACAAACTAAAGATTAAACATAGTTTTAAATACTGTTCCATGCTGGTTATCATTAATTAATGTAAAATGTTACATACCCAACACCTCATTAAAAATTTAAAAAACAAATGCAATGTTTCATAAGATTTTGGTTTCATAATAATCAATTTACAATAAAATAGTGAAAAAATTAATAGCAATAGTTGCAAGCAATTTTTATTTATGCATTGCAATTGGAGGATATATCAAATAGGTTTCATACTAGTAAAAAATAAATATATGAACTGAAGTGGAAATCATTATATTTATAAACTAATGTTTATTTTATGAATTCTACTTTTTTTCTTACTTCTATAACATTTTATTGACCCCTTGGTTGGTTTCCACATTTTGATACTATGCATAATTTTGTGAATAACACTGTATGGAAAACTTTTTGAATTAGCGTGTGTATTGTTACTATTTTAAAAAATTTCTTCATTACTCTCTCTCACACACCTGTGAAAAGAACTTTTTGATTAATTAAGGAAAAAATAAGTGAATACTGGTAAATAAACTTACTATAGGCTAGACGTAAATGATAAATAACTAATGAAGCATAGGTCCATCTGTGTTAATCCAGAAAATGTTAAAATTTTAAAAATAATAATGACTTTAAGCAAAATAAAGATTAGAAATAGTTTTTAGCTATAGTTCTATGCTGGTTATTAAGAAGAAAAGTCCACTTAATGAAAAGCACATGGACTTTTTGGTTTCAACTTGGAAACAAATAAAAGAAAATCATTGTTGTGATATACAATAGATTCTGCCATTTTGTTTACTTGTAATTAAGTTCATCTTGCTTATTAGATGGTTTTTATGGAGGAAAGGTAGTTTGATACTGTACAAAATGTTCATCTTGTGAAGAAAGAAAGAAACAGTGAAAACTTGTGTAATATCAACAGTGATCAGACTTTTCTTTATCCTGCTCTGTTTGTGGGATGGATAAGAGACTTGAATTGCAGATTTTGACTTATAACCTCTTCCTCTGTCCTGTTACATATTCTTGAATTCTGTTAACAGTTGAATTGTGATAGATTTCTATTCCAAAATACTTAGGTAATTTCTTAGTGATATATATAGATTCTTTCTTCTCTGTTCACTAATAAAATTTGTTACTCCTTAGCTAATGTCTGTTACCTTTTTGTTTTTTGTGTGTGCAAAATTGGAATTTGGCTTGTATCAATGATTAGGTAGTATTTCAGTCTTTTTAAACACAAGGAAGTATGCAATTAAAATTAGTGAATTTACATTAGCAATTGTAAGCTACAATTAAATTAATTTTAACAATTATTCTTACAGTTTTATTAAAAGTATATGACTATTCCTGTGTGTTTTGAGTTGGAGTGAACACTTTCTACATCTGATATTCTTATCAAATTACCTCTTTGTGGGCTATGGAGTGAAGTTTAATTGTTAAGAAAATGTCTTATAAGAAGATACCACAATATGAATGTTTTCAAAAGACTAATTTGTTTGATGCAGTATTTTTGTTTTCCCCCCATTTAGCAGTAACCTGTAGTTTGAATGAAGCAAACCTTTAATTTCAGACCTGTTAATTTGTTTTTATTATTACTGAAGTTACATACTGTACTTAAACAGTAATGTTTTGTTTTAGTGTGGAGGAATTAACTGGTAGCAGTTTTACTGTCTGTTCTTTAAAGCTTTTCAACATAGCAGAATATATGGCAATGAAAAAATAACATATTGAGATGTAAATTTTTTTGTGAACATAAATACTTGTAAATGTAATTAAATATATATATTTTTAATTCTTTTAAATAGGTATGGATCTATTCTTATATTAAATGGAAATATGGATCCTGGTTCAGTGTTTACAGTAAGTACAACATCAAAAATATGTTTAAATGCTAGTTATTTAACTGCATGTTTATTCTGATATTATTTATAGAACCCCTGTTGTTAAACTAACAAGTTTAATTCTTTTTTAATATATCATTGGATTAATTTTTATTCTATTTTGATTTTAGTTTTAAAAGGGAAATGAACATAGATTTGTGTTTAGATTTTAGTATGATTGGAATTGATATAGATAGACAGATTTTTAGAAGTTTAGTGTTTCTTTAAGTCAACAAATTAAAGGAAAAAAGTTGTGGTAGTGTTACAGAGATTTTAGAGGTGTAATTGCAAGTATATTTGAAGTTAATTAGTTAGTTAACTATGAGAATTAGAATCCATGGTTTGATTCCCTGCTTGGACACAGCAGATAGAAAACAGTGTGGTATTGCTATAAAGCAAATACTGTAGGAATTAAAATTTATATTTGATGAAAATTAAAAGTTAACAGAGGAATTGAAAATGATATAAAATGAAAAGCAAAAATCATTATGCTACAAATTACAGAAAATCTTTATTGTTTTATTTCACTTGTGTTGACCAATATTATTTATGTTTAATGAAATGTAACTTTTATAAGTTGCATAATTTCATTCTATAAAGAACCTTGTTTGATTATAAAAGCATAAGTAAAATTTTCAGAGACACAAGCAGATGTCTTCTTATGCTGTATGGCTTTTGTTTGATTTTCAGGTTTTTTTTGCTGTATTGATTGGATCTTTTTCCCTGGGTAATGCTGTCCCTCATCTAACAGCCATAGCCACAGCTAAAGGCTCAGCAGGTGTTATTTTCAACATAGTTGATAATGTGAGACTTTTGCTTGAAAGTTTGTTAAAAAATTACTTCATAGATATTATTTAATGTTAGGAACTCTTAACTATTATTAACTTAATATAGCAAAAAAATTTTAGTTGTTAAACAATTTTAAGTTAAAATCTGTATCAAGTTATGCTTATTTCCTGTTTGATCATTTCCTCAAGTCACTAGTATTGAGTTATTTTGGTAGTTTTTGTTCTTTTAATAATTTTTTTATCATCTTTATGGATGATTAACAGTTGTTTCCTAATATAAACATTTATTTTGAGACATCCATGTAATAAGATTCAGTGTGCCTGTGTGGCACGTAACTCCTAAACCAATGGTTGCACGTAGTTCTAAGTGATACCAAACAAATCATCTCAGTTGCGAGGTTTGCACAAAGATAAAATTTTTTACTCCACCTCTTAGGGAACCTGGGAATTTCCCCAAAATCCCTTCTCCTCAACTGTTGGATTCACCAACTTCTAAATGTTGCCACTTGAATTGTATCAACCAAGAGATTTGCACAGGTAAACCTTTAGTCCAACCTCTTAGGGAACCTGGGTATTTTGCAAAAACATTTTTATGCGAATTCCATGAAAGTGGACCCCAAATTCAGCATTGATTTACATTACAGCATGTAAATGAATAGGCCTACAATTTACCATTTGTAACATGGTTAAAGAAATTAAACTGAAAAAGTGGCAAATAGTAGATCAAGTGTTAAATTTGCATTGTAGTGACTTTGAAAATGTGAACCTTAGGCTCACACATTTGCTATTTTAATATATAAAGTATAACAAAATGAGGATGGTTTTCTTCTTTTCTCAGTATTGCTGCTGTCTCCTTACTGATTAACTTTGGTGTGCTGTTCACCTTTCTTAAATATCGGTTGCAACATACACGTTTATTAGAGGAGCAAATAAATCCTACTTCTTTTGTTACTCTCGTCACATTTAAGTGTTTGATACCAAGGGATAAAGTCCTTTGATTTTCATTTCATTAAATTTTACCTGGTTGTTTTTATAATGTACATATTAAGCCTGTTTTTCATTTTATCAGAGCTCTGCTGCCTGTTGAGAACAAGTCAACAGAAGTTTTGTAGATATACATTCCTGTTCTTCTTTTTACAAGAACATTAGCATGTGGTCTTGATGCCTTGAACTGCTAGCTATCCCCACTGGTGAGGATGATAATTGTCTCTTGCATTGTTTGAGAAATATGAGCATTGCAATGTTGGAAGCTTTTTCCTCAACTGTATTGGTCTTTGATCAGTGGTTTGTTTCATATTAGATTGCATTAAGACTAACAATAATTTTATAACAAGTTTTTCTTTATTGTTCCTATATTTCTTCAAATTTCATATCAGTATTATTGTGATACAATGTCCCACAAGCTACTGATCTTTAGATCATGCTTCGTCGGCATAAGGTGTTAAATACCTTAATAATTACTTTGCTCTTCATTATCTTTTCATGTTATTACCAGTTTTCTGGTACACAACTTGTCTTTCTGTCTTAACCCTTTGGGGAGTTTTACTCTTTGTTTTTCTTTTTTTTTTTTTGTTTGGTGGTAGCTTCTCTTGTATTTTTTACTAATGAAAAAACACTTGGGTTTAGTTTACAGCTAACATTTTTGTAACTCAACGAAAGGCAGTGGCTATCTACTTGTGAACGTGACACTGGAGCCTTCAACAGTTACTTTTCTGTATTGTATGATTGTGTGATTATCTACTTTAAATATAACACTTCAGTTTTTGGTAGTTGTTTTCCTGTATTGTGTTGTATGATGGCCTTGTGTATCCAGTTCTAAATGTGACACTAGAGCCTTCAACAGTTGCTTTCCTGTATTGTGTTGTATGATAGCAGAGGTGAGTGACAGTGTAACCTACATCAGTTATATGATGGTGAGGAGAGAATGTGGTTGAGACCTATATGCTAGCCTTTGAGAGATCAATTATATTTTTATGTATAACCCTTTAGCAACAGGTAGGTTAAATTGTGCATGTCACAACCTTTTAAAGAATTACATTCAAAATATAATTAACCCTCTCTCCACAGGCATCTTTTTCTGTGTATGTCACAAGATTTTAGTGAGTTACATTCAAAGCATAATTAAACTACTATTTTTTCATGGTATACCAATAAATATAGCATAAAAAATGTATACAAGTTTTAAGTTCTTAATTTTTTAAGGGATATTTGAAAAAATCCTGAATATTTCGTAGTATGAGAATTGTGACATTTTCTCTCTCTCTATGCATCACCTCTTTAATTTATTTACCACCCCTCCAAAAAGTACAAAATTTAACGTAAATTACTCACTGTAATATTGTAATCCCTCAGTAAAAGTATAATTTACGTAGCTTTCAATCTTATTTAGTTACAGAGCAATAAAATAGAAAATCAGATCCCTCTTAAGTCCACCTGTCACATCCTCTCTTTCAGAAATTGCCAATAGTTCTATCTGACATTCAATACTATATTATTTATAACTAATAGAAAGCCAAGGTTTTAATCTATCAAATGATGTATTATATTACGTTGTTTTCTATACAGAGAACTGTCAGTTTTGCTTCCAGTGCAACCTTTATTCCATGGGAAGCACATCAATGAGCGTAGCTGAATTTCTAATAGCTCTTTTCAGAGTTAGAAAGCCAGAGAAATTGTGATAGTTATGGGACATATCCTACTTTTTGCATGTTATTATGTTGTGTTCTTTGGAGCATTATATAATTAAATAAAAAATTATTTAGTGCAGTAATACCATTAGTATGAAAAAGTAGGATTAAGTATCATTGACAGTAGACAGCAAAAAAAAAGACCTAGTTAAGTACTACATTTTTTGTTTTTCATGTGTATTCTTTACTTACCATGGTAAATATACTTTTTAGGTTGGATAAGTTAAATAGATAATAATAATTTTCATAAGTTATGCTTGCAAGTAGCTCACGAGTAGTCCGTACATTATGTAATTCAATACTGTAATGAGAGTTATGCATTTGCCACATAATTTACACCTTTTATGGTGTGAATAGTAGTTAGACATGGTCCAAGGGTAAATAAAACAATAACATTTAAGCATAAATAGATGTATACTGTTATGAGTTTAAAGCTATTTAGGATAAACAAACAGAGTTTCATGCTACAATTTGAAGTCATTCTAGAAAGAAAAAATTGGTAACTTAGATTTATTAACATTTTTTTTTGGTGGCTACAAGTTTGGTCAAGTTGACCAACCTTGTGTACAGTTAGGATAGAGAAAGTAACAGATAAAATCTAAAGTTTTACTAAAAACAAACTTTTGAAATTTAATTAGGAGGTTTTAGAGTTCTGATACAGTTCTTCCCATTTCTCACAACATTAGCTTTTCCAGCTTTGTGCTGCCCTCCATATGCAAAGTTTTTATAAAACATACCACAAGCCTTCCACACCTCACCCCCCAACTGGAATCAAAGATTCCAAGATGTCTCTCATGCAAATCATCATACATCATCTGTCCACCAATAGGAGGGCACTACTATCATGTGATGCATGTGACTCCCACTACCGAACCATCACTTCGAAGTTTGGCAGATGAACTAAGCACCAGATGATTGTGGGGAGAAGGGTGGGAAGTATGAGTAGAGGGAAGTACCTATTGGAAATACATTTTCAGTACAGGAAAATTATAATTTCTGATACGTTACTTCCCTCTTCTCACAAGATTAGCTTGAATTTCACATTGAAAAGGAGGAGAGACCGGTGTGAGGGAAGAACAGACGTACCACCCAAAAGGATACTTCTGTTGATGAGAGAAATAGATCAGATGATCTGAGGAGTGGCACTGCACCACTTCTGAACCAGGTATCTATTTGCTATGAAAAGCTAGGAACAAACATGGCAGAAAAGGAAGGGAGCACATCCGAGCAGGACAGAATAAGTTAGAAAAGTAATCTCAACCCAATAAATATAAGAACTCAATTCCACAGAAGTAAAGTGGGTAATGGAGGATATGTCTCATGGTGCAGAATGGCTAGGGCATGGCAGACTGTACTCAGAAAGTCAACTACATCCAAAACCTCCTTATCCACGCAAGGGTAGGATGAGGATCATACCGGCTTCACCTCAAACCCTAAAATCGTGTATGTGAAGAAAACACCGACTCCAGGAACGTGTCATCTGGTATCTGAGGGAAATCCATCACATTCAATCAACTTCCATGACTGTGAGACTGGTCCAAAACATCCAAAGGTCAATAACATCCCCATTGCAAGAGAGAACGAGGGAGTTCCCAGGACAGAAACATCCCATGTACCCACTACACAGAAAGAAAGAATCAAAGGAGGAAGATTGATAACCCCAAACCTGTGTGAGGACTTTAGTGATTAGTTCACTCGATATCCAAAACCAGCTCATGGAGTACCATTATCCACGGGAGGGTTGGATGAGGGCACCCAATCGAAGGGATGAATTGCATTTAGACATCTCACTCTGTGGTATGTGTCACTCAATCTGGAGGATTTTACACCTTTTAAACTGACAGAACACCACCGCCCTACTCTGAACTGAATGGTTATAGCCATCTATTTGGAACCCATCCAGAAGGATGCCTCCATGGTAAACCACCCCAGTGGCTTGAAACTGGCAAGTGGTAAAAACTTCCATACTCCACTGGAAGGGGGGGGGGGTGCACTGGAGAATCCAGAGGAACAGTTACACTTAAGACAGTGCAATGATGATTATGAAAAGCAGACCATGCCATCCATGGGTGGTATGCTTCAGGACAGGCCTATTTATGAAGCAAATATCCCAAGGTTATTGACCTTCCAGTGATTTTGTGAAACACCCCATCTCAAAAGTGAGCATGCAAAGCCATGGAAAAGCTCACGAATCAACATGGCATACAGTGTGGATTTGTTTGTGTAAAGAATACCTGGTCAGACAACAATTGCCAAAGACCAGGATCCAAGATACGAAATTTGAACCAAGAGCCCCTGAAAGAAAAGAAAGCATTAATAAAGACTTTGATAGGCAATACCCAGAGGAAGCAGAAACCACGATGTGATGTAAGTAATGGGAGATGAACATCTGAAGGGTGGTCCACATGCCCGACTACAGAATCTCCTCCAAACGTTGATGAAGATGAGAAACAAGGGAAAATGTTAGGTGTCGGATTTGATGGGAGGTAACATGGAACAAGGCACATTGGAAAAGGGAGAAGGAAGAATAAGCCAACTGGATTAAAAGACAAACCCAATTGGTAAGGGTAAAAAGACATAGATTCTGAGACGAAGAGGGTGGCCACAGGAGAAAGAGATGGGAATCCCAGAAGGAAGCCGTGTGGGCAATATAACAATGAAGGGTATGCACTGGCCATAGAAGTCTATCCGGATAAGGATGAGGGAAGGGAAATGGGTGAAAACAAGTTAACCTTGTGTTACCACCAAGGTCTTAGGAAGGAAGGAACAATTGAAATAAAGGAGAAGGTAGATTTGGTGTTACAGTGTGGGAGTGATGTTGATAGCAAGCAGATTTGACCAATGCCGCCCACAGGCCAAGAGGGATAGGTGAAAAAGAGCACGAGGTATTGGGCTCAAATAAAGGTAAAGTAAGGGAATGGCGTACAATGTTAATGTCCCAATCTGGAAGTACAGGATGCCTAGGTGGCTGGATAGAATGGATCAAAATGGCAAGGACAAGGGAAACAAAGACCCTGTGGTAACTGGAAAAATGGAAAGTATGGGATAGGGCTGCCTGATAACCTGATATTCAGGAGACTGAAGACCCTTTCTCAAAAAAAAGCCACATAAGAAACTCTGAGATACCAGCAACCATAGGACTAGAAGTTGGAATACCCCAAACCAGGGCTTAGGTGCAAAAAACATTACATTTCACCAATACAGCCAGGGATGAAGGACGCATGGAATGAGCTAAATGAGATGTCATCCATCTTGAGAAGCCAAATCTCCTCATCAGGGATTGGACAAAAGCTAGGAGTTAAGATGGAGGACTGGAGTTGAAGAACAAGTTTGGGGAATAAATGAAGAGGGATGGGAGAGAACAACTGTAGGTGGGGTAATTGAGGAAACCACAGTTGAGTGGGCTAGTAAGGAGCAATCAGAAGGACTTTCCACAGAGTGGTATGGATGAGGGAGACTACCTGATGAAGAAATTGGATAGGAGGATAAAATAAAGGAACTTGTTTGACCAATCCTGGCTGAAGGCATCTATCCTCAAAGCCCAAGATTGGGAAACTGGGGACCATAACAAAGATAACTGGTGATTGAGGGTGGTTTCAAATGCATCGATATGAGAGATACCCCAGTGATAGAAAAGTCACCAAAAAAACAAGGGGATGAAAGGACCACTCTGTCAAATAAACCCATTGGGTCAGTAAAGACAATCCATCACAAGGTGGAAAGCACCCAATACGTGACATGCCATCAAGCAAATATAATGACATGGGCCCAAAAGAGAAGATCCATTGTTAGAAAACACAGGGATCTCAACCAGGTGCCACCTTAGTGATTGATATTAGCCACCACTGTTGAATTGTTGGAATGGATCATGACCTGGCAGTCTCTGAAGATGGGAAGAAAGTGATCCAAAGCCTGATGAAAGAAAGGAATTTGAGGACATTGATATGAAAAGAATGTTTCCTGACAGACCAATGGCCCAAAGCCTTGTGGTGATTGACCCATGCACCGTAGCCCTGAAGGGATGTAGGAAGGAAGGGTTATAGGAGCATCCAATGGATCCCGAGCTATGGATTGAAGGGATCACATATGAGCCCAGCTGAGGGGTATGAGAGGAATCATAGAAGACCATATCCCTAAAAGCAATTGAACATCGCAAGCAGAAAGTGAAGGAGCAGACAGGGCATTCCGAATAGCCAGTTCCAGAGAACATAGCCAGGGAGGGGAAGGTTGAGTCTGACTGAGATGGATGTTGAAGAAAACACTCAGATGAATGAGGTACTAGGTAAGATGAAGGAAGGACTTCTCAACCAGCCCACCTAAGTAGCTTTGAGAATTAGCTGACAAGTGTGACAGGCTAACTCCTAATCGGAATTGTCCATGTAAAAGTGAAAGTGCAACCCCAGGGCATGAAGATGTAGAGCACCGAAGCCAGACCAAAGGGTAGGATGCAAAATTAGTACACCACTCCAAAATGGACAAACCAAAGATACGGACAAGATTGCTCCGATATGATAATATGCAGATAATCATTGGAGACATCCATCATGGTCATCCAAAGACCCGGAGAAAAACCCACCAAAGAGTAAGTTAGAATTCCATGGTGAAGCATGAGGAGTGAATGTATCAATTGAGACGGGACATGTTAATGACCAGTCCCCGGTCATTTTTGGGAACTACAAACGGGTGGGAGTAAAACCCCCACAAACTGCATGGAGCTGTGTGAGGAGGTCTTGCACTGCCTCAGATAGATGCTGGCATGACAAGGGATCCCAAGGAGAGGGAAAGGAAACAAGCACACAAAACAAGGGTGGAAGGGTGAGAAAAGGCCTGACAAATCCCTCTGACAAAACTTAGTGAACCCACACATCGAAGATGAAAGGGCTCTATCGATGAACAAGGTCACCAGCCTAGCTCCCACCAGACTTGAACACACCAGATGATCACTGGAACCATTATTGTTGAACCATGCATCATTGTGAAAATGACAAAGTGGCAAGGGCTGGGAAAGGGAGGGTCAGGAGACAGCAATCTGTGCCATGCTCAGCTCTATGCCACCATATGAGAAAGGGTGGATTATTGTTAGACTGAAGCTACCATCAACTACAAAGACTGTGGGATCATGTGAGACATGAAATGTCTCCAAAACAGGACCAAATGAAAGATCCCGTAGATAAGGAGCTGGGTCAATGACAGAATGGCATCACGACCCAAAAGGTCCCAACAACAAATAAACCATGTTCGATGGGGCAGAGCTGAACATGACAGGTGGGCCAACATGGAGTGTGGAAGGAGAGGACTTCCCCAGAAAGGGTAAAATGTTGTTGGACTAATGCCACCCATGACTCCAAAAACTGTGGTATCGTGTGAAACATCTCAAAAACGGGGCCACACAAAGGTCCCGTAGATAAAGAGCCAGGTCCATGACAAAATGGCATCATGACCCAAAAGGTCCCAACAACAAATAATCCATGTTTGCTGGGTCTGATCTGAAGACGACAGGTGGGCCAATATGAAGTGAGGAAGGAGAAGATGTCCCCAGAGAATCCTTCAGAGTTTCAATGAAGAGCATCAGACAGGAGATAGATCGAGGAGAGGTAGCTCAAAACAGTTGTCAGGATAAAACAAAAGGCAGGAATACATGGTATGGGTAAGATGAATGGAAAATATAATCCAAGAAAGCCGTTGAGGGCCGAACAGAATCCTTAAGTAGGGTTTGGGAAGGCATGGCAAACTCCAGGGAAGGGAGGGAACAAATGATCAAAATCCTCATCAGCTTGGCCAGGCTCGAAAGGCTCAGAAGGAAGAGGGGCAGCAGCAGGAAAAAAAGATTGTCCCATATAATGCTCAATCTTCCTGCAAATAAAGGCTGATGAATCTCCCGACTGGTCACCCACACCTGTGACCTGAAGTGTGGCTTCAGACGAATGAAATGTACCCGAATTGGTAACGCTAACTTCAGAATTCATGCTTGATACCAAACAAATAAGTAAAAATTTGCAGCAAAACATGGGTCAATCAAATGCTTTCAAAATTAAAATGAAAAAAATTCTTGAAATAAAGTAAATTAAATTAAGTTAAACCACTTTGAGAAGTAAGCAAAAAGAAAGACTTCTGAACTCAAGCACTGCCAAATGAGAAGCAGTGGTTTGATAGTGGTGCATAGAGAGTCGCATGCATCATGCAATAATAGTGCCCTCCTATTGGTGGAGATATGATGCAGGTGGGGGGGGGGGGCTTGTGGCATGTATTATAAAAAGTTTGCATGTGGAGGGCAGCACAAATCAACTTAATCCTTTACTGATGTATCTGTTAAACTAATATAAACCTCCTGTGCTCTTTTATATAAATTACGTTTGTAAAGTACCATTAAAAAAAGTTAAAAAGTGAACTGATTTCAATATTTAAATATTCCATATACCTTGTTTTTTTCTTTTGTTAGAGAATGACTAAATTTTTAACTTTTTTTTTCAGAAACCCAAAATAGATCCATATTCTGACAAAGGCATCTTTCCACAGCAAATGACACCTAGTATTGAATTTAGAAAAGTAAATTTCACTTACCCATGCCGAAAATCTGTTCAGGTTAGTAATAGAAATGTTTGTGTTCTGTACTATTTTTTTCTTATTGAAATAAATTATATATTTAAATGTAGTGAGTTTTTCTGTCATGCCTTCATTTAACATTAATAACTTTCATTTAATACATGATCAGTAAATTTTTTTGCAGCTATTTTCAAATTCATCAAGACACTGGTGAATATGAAATATGTTTTTAAACATGCACATTACTGTTATATCTTTTTAAAATTAAATGATTGAAGTCAAACCATGAATGATTTGTCTTGAGAAGTTGTAGTGCATATTATTCTCTATCCCTAATATAATATATATTTTATAGGTCTTCATTTCAGATAATGCACAACATTATTACTAGATGATGTAATCAACACACTTTTCTTTCTTTGTTTAGGTCTTAAAAGATATATCTTTTACTATAAAGGAAGGTCAGACAGTAGCTCTTTGTGGTTCCAGTGGCAGTGGAAAATCTACAATCATCAGTTTATTGCTAAGGTTCTATGACCCACAGAAAGGATCAGTAAGTTCAAATGGGTCAGATAGATTTAAAATAAAGTAGGGGACAAACTATGAAAGAGTTGTTAAATTGTCAAACTACAGTTTTATACTGGCTAAGGTATGTTTTAAACACAGTTATACAAATATTGTTTTCATGATGTTTTGCTGTTAATAGTAGATTAATTGTTTTTTTTAATAAATTTGTAGTTTTAAATTTTATGAATGTTTGTCTTACAATTATTCATGGTCTTGGCTGACAAAATACAGTACAAATATTCAAAAATATTATAAATTAATTATATTTGTGAAAGTAATAAATATAGTGCCCTAGCATAATAAAATTAGTAGTCTTGCCATAGAGTTGACATTGATGTTGTCAGTCTACAATACAACGCAAGCACAAAATTAAGGAGAAACTGAAAGGATCATGTTCAGTAAAGTTATGTATATCATGGGTGTGGAAGTATTTGTGGATATTTTCAAACAATACTGATTTCAGGGGAGTTTATGTTCATATGCCAGGACACTGTAACATTGATATTTGTATATCACAGTAATATTTTAAGAAATTATGGTCTTATAGTTCTGTGATGAAACACGTACTGATTATGATCAGCATTTGATATACTTGGAGCACCATAAAATTAATTTGTATTTGTTTCTATAGCAAAGTGGAAAAAATCTTTTAAAAAACTGATTGTTTATGACCAGAACATCCATTGTTTTGAAAAACTTTATCCAGTGTATTTTGGTTTTTAAACATCTTGCTTAAAACAAAATTATGTAAACTTGGGAAGAAACAATTTTATTTTATTTTTCCAAAGCAAAATTAAATTAATTGTTATGGGACACAAATGTATGTATTTAGTTATTATATTTAAGTTGTCTTCATTGTTCCATTACCAGTTTGTCCATCCTGCAACATATGCCCTCTAATGTTTTATCAGAAGATCTTTTGTAATTATTAAAGGTATATGTTAAAGTTCCATCCAGATACGATCTTATTTCACGTAACATTTTTTCAGCTCATACAAGATATTCTATCCACGGAAGAAATTAATAATTCTGAGACGATACCTCGCCTCCTCACACAGTAATAACTATCTTCCTTGTGCATCTGCCAAAGAGATTTGCCTGCCACTAACCTTGACACAACTCCCACCCAATTTCACATGATTTAACATGAATTGCACTACTGAATAATGACATAATCACATGACAAAGCCCTTCGCCAAGAGGAAGGCAACACACCTCCATGTGCACTAACTCCCTTATGAATATGTGCTCATGTAAACTTCATTCTTCTCTTTGGCATTGTATTGAACAGATGTGTTTAATTTTCTCATCTGCATTAAATTTATTGAGAGTTGCATTATTAATGAACTTTGATTTTCATTTTCTTTGGCTTATCTTTCAAAAGCTTTAATTTTCATTATGATTTGAACTTGGTCCTGAGTGTGTAACGTTGTTCACACTTAGGCCTTATTTCTGCTGGGGCTTTGGACATTCAGTAACTATTAGGGTCATTGCACCCATTGTTCAATGTGTTGTGGATTACCACGTGCTTAATGGGCCTCCTACTTCCATCCTGTTAGCTGAATTTCTTTTATTGGCCTGTTGGATAATGACTTTCACCTGATTTGCATTGAGTAATTCTTCATGAAATGACTTTAACCTTTCAATCTCTTTATGGATTTCATTCTCACGTATGCTCCTTTCCTTATTTTTTGCCTGTGTTCTTTATTATTTTTTGTTTTCTTAATTTATGACCCACTATTCTTAGGGGTTCTTTTGTCTTGCTTGTTATTAGGATTTATACTGTTACCTGTCTCTAATAGCTCTTTTCCCATGCCCAAATTCCTCACACCCCTAACATCTGTGACTCATTTTGTCCTGCTTTATAGACTTTCTTCCTTTCCTTTTCATGATTCCCTGGTATCTTCCCTTCTGTATTCCCTCTCCTTACTTTGCCTTTTATTTAAGTTACTTCTTCATGCTTCTGTAAACATTAGGTTTGCCTGTTACACTTCTCTGTTCTAAACATCCATATTTTGTTCAGCTGCTGTTGGGACTCATTGAGTTTGGTAACGTTCCTCTTAAATGTACCCCTTCCATTTTCAAATGTGTTTGTTATTCATCTGGTTCACTTTCTTTGCCCAGAAGTCTTCAGTGATGTTCCTTTTTGCCTGGTGATCTAGTCTGTTGTTATTTTACTTCTGTCCTTGTTATCTTCCCAGGTTTTTCATCTTTCCTGATTACTACCTGCATTCCATTACTGACTCTTAAACTTGATCTCTCCCTTTTTTTATGCCTGTCTCTCTATTGAGGCACATTTTTTTGAGGCAGGACTTCTGACATTTGGATGCTGATCATGCATTCACTCCACATCAATGTGCTTGATCATCTCTTTATTCATCAGGCATGCTCCCATTCCTGCCCCTACTGGTGAATCACTTGGTCATATTCCACTTAGTCTCATCCATAGTTGTTTATTGCACCAACTGTTCATGAGACTCCTGTTCCAGGTCTTTTGGGTGTTAGGTTGATTTTCTTGCATATTATTTGCTGAGAGCTTAAATCTTGGTGGTGGACCACCTTTCTTGGCCAGTCCACTTTCTATCAACAGGTTTTCTGTGGGGTTTGCTCTTGGTTGGACACGCCCTTCTTGGATGCATTTGCCACTCATCATAACTCCTGTCTTCAACCCTTATGGTCCACTATTCCTCATCCTTTGGCTCTGGCTGTTGATTTTCTTAGTCAGGCCTGGTCTCACCTTTTTACTATATGCCTATTCTCCTACTTTTCTTCTCCCTCTGGTCCTCGTCTTTATATACTGTTTTTCTTCTTGGTTTCTATTGTTGGTGCCTCTTTGCCTAGCTCAGACTTGGTCTACTTAACATTTATACCCTTCTTCCTTTCTTTAAGTTCCCTTTGCTTTCCTGATTCATCCTCATGCATTCCTTCTTCATTGAGGGTTATTCTCCTTCTTTACACGTGGAATTTGCTATATCTGTCATCCTTTGAATTAGACCTTTCCATTTATATGGCATTATTCTAGTCATGTTCTTGTCACTCTTCCACCATTTTTGTCTGTCAGCAACTGTGGTGGGCCATTTGTCATTGATCCTTCCACCACTCCTTTCATTGTGGCAGTCATACTGTGAACCACCTTTCTATCTATTTTACTTGGCTGTTCATCATTGTCTTGTCAGTCTCCATCTTATTAATTGTCAGGAGACCTTGTCCATGGCCTTTCTCCTTTCTCTGCTCTCCTCACCCAACTCCCACGCCTGTCTGAGACCATAATGAGGTTTTGTACTATTTTGTATATACCTCATTCATGCCTTTAGCTTCTTGCCTTTTGTACCATCTTTCTCTCCTGTTGTTTCCTTCTCCTTCTTATCTACAATTACTGTTGGTTGGATGTCTATCTATAGATGTTTCTTGTACCATCTTCCACTACACTTCTATATCTCTCTCTCCAGACCAATCTTTCCTTACCCATTCTTCATCTGCTCAGAAGGTTAGCCATACTTCTTCCTATCTCCCTTCTGTCTCTTACCTTTTGCACCCTTCATACTCATATTGGGTCCTGTCACCTGTTTGGCTGTTTAGTGTGCCTAATCGTGGACCTCTCCCAGTTGTGATCCCTGCATTTGTCTTCCCTATCTATAGACCTCTCTTTTTCTCTTTACTGGATGGGTTCTTTGATTCCTCTGGTTGGCATGTTCATCTCAAGTTGTGGATGCTTACAGACTGTTTCACATCCATTCTCATTCATTTGGTCACCTTCTTCACTCTTCTACTTCTCTTCTTTGATGGCCCTAGATTGAACTACTCCAAGCAGGCATATGTACACTCTCCACACATTTGTCTAATTTTTAACACTTCCTGGCTGTTTTATCTTCTAATGATTTTTTGGCTTCCACATGTAGTTGTTCTTCTATCCCACCATCTTTGAAAATAATATGTACTATTTCTCTTTCAGAACCACTTTTTCATTCATAGGATCCCACCAGATGGTTGGTAGTGCCTCCCCCAGGGTATACTTACCCAAACTCTACATGCAGCCAGAAAAACTGAAAGTGTTCATGCCATCTACCCTGACTATACTTGTCCTCACTGTGAGATGGGGTGTTCTGCAAGACCGCTTGAGGTATCGCCATGGTATGTACATATATATTTCTCAATTGTCCATTCCAGGCCTTACCTGTTTCATGGACTGTCAAGGAAAAAGCCAGTATCAGGTGTGTGTGTGTTCTGTCCACTTCTATTGCTTGCACTTGCTGGCTTTTCAAAATAGGATTTTGTGATCAGGAAAAGACCTTTCTGGTCCGATGTACCAACATGGGATCTAGATCCTTTCTCTGAGTTTCCCCACTTCAAATTCTCCCCCTTCTTTTTTATCGATTGAAGCATGGGAGATCCTTGCCACTTACCAGTTCCTAGCCACTGTGGTGATGGACTATGGAGAACCCTCACTGATTGACTTGTATGCTGATGCAACATACAGTTGAGTACCAATACAGTGGGAAGTGGGGCAGTAGTGACTCTTGTCAGTGTAGTACAAGTTATTTGTGCCCTCTTCCTGCAGCCTAGTTCTGTTCAGTAGAATTGAGGTGAGCATGCATTATGATGCTGTGCCCTCCAGTGTCTGTTGAGTTGAGTCAAGGTGAACACTGTCGGAATCTGACGGTAGAGTTGAAATGAGCACACAAGGTAGTCTGAACTTGCCCCAACCACACTACACATGTTGGCTGTTCAACCACTTGTGTGCAATTACTAGATGATCATGTTCTTATTCTATGCCTGTCCCTGTGACAAATGGGACTTATTCTCATCTTCCCCCTTTCTTCTGGGTGAAGTGGATACCCTGTATTTCCAATACATACCTCAACACACATTCCCACTCATTATCCCCATTTCTGTGCACATTGTCTTCTTTACCTCATCCATGAATGAAGATTACATGAGTGCTGTATAAGGGAGAGTTAGTGCGCATGGAGGTGTGTCACCCTCTTATCGATAAAGGGCTTTGTTGCATAATTATATCATCATGCAGTAGTGCAATTCATGTGAAATTTGGTGGGAGTTGCCTCAAGGCTAGTGGCATGCAAATCTCTTTGGCAGCAATGCAAGGAAGATAGCTATTTTCATGTAAGGAAAATGTTAACATTTGCCAGTATATTAAATTGATTAAACTTTCACATGACAAAATTTTAAGTTTTGTGATCTAATTTACATCATGCTATTATTGATGTATACTTGTAGCCATTATTTGTGAAAGCTTCTGTGACATTAATAATACATTTTCTTTGCCATTATTGAGATTTATTTTTCCAGTTAATCACAAGTAAGTTTCATTTGGCCTGTGGAATATTATAAATGTTAAACAGTAACATAAACTTTATTTGATACACATCTTTTTTGTTACGGTTTTAAAAAACTTTATTTTGCTAAAAATTGTAACAATTAAAAACAAATAATTTTGATTATTCCAGTTTTTAGCCCAAATAAAGTTTTTAATTTCAAATTCTAGAATCCTCCAATTGAAACTGTTGTGGTTTCAAGGCATGCATCAGAATTTCAAGCTGATTTTGTCATGTAAGAAATATATTGTTTGTAATGAACTAGTCTGTTCTCTTATTTCACTAGTGTTAGATGTTTAACCCTGTTGCACATGACATAAGGTTTTAGTGTCTTACATTCAAACTTTTATTAAACTACTTTTTGTTTATGTTATTCCAATTAGAATAGCATAAAATCTTAGATAATAATCCATATTTTAATAGTATCCAAGTTTTAAGTTCTTAATTCTACAAGGAAATGTATAAAAAAAAATCCTGAATTTCCACTAGTGTGACTAGATTAGGTAAAATAAGTAATAATAATAATATAATTAAAATGGTTCACGAGTCACACATGTGAGCAGCTCATGGGTAATGTAATTCGATAGCATAACATGAGCTGCACGTTT